CAGTAAAGAAGGACATGGAGCACGTAAGAGCATGCTAGAAGCGGAGAGGGGTAATGTGTCAACGAACATGAACCGGGCCCAAGTTGTGTGTGTACGTCGACCACTATTGAGGCAAAAAATTAACATGCGGCAGAAAATGACTTCACGAACGAGGAAGGCGACAAGGTTGCATGCATGCGCGTAAGGATGGCAACGCCGGGCCCCATATTTCCTTCTGCAGGAGTGAATTCAGTCCGTCCTCAACATGCCTGGATTGAGGTTTGTAACACGCTGCGCTACTGGCTTATTGGCCTTACGAACCAAATTTGCCGCCGTGCACCACATAAAAATTTAATGGCCATCAAAACCCTGGGGTGGGAGAGGATTTCTGTTGGTTTAAGCTCAGATAGCCATGCCCGAAGAAACTATTGCAGGTGCTGGTGTTAATGACATAATATAGTTCTGACACCAGCATAGCGTGCTCTGAAACGGCCTAGTATGTTTGCCCGGATTCAGAAGACAAGCGTGTGGGGGCTCTGCTGGCCAGACCCAGACATGGGGGCCCTCGGGTCAGGTGGGATTGCCTTTAGTGCTAGGTACGTTCGTGGCATTGCTGCTAGCCAATATATAAGCCACGCCACGAACGTATCTAGCACTGAAGTTACCTAATAAGTGCATTGTGACCTGATAGTGTGTAGGTGCGTGAATAGACTAGCCTTTGATTTTCTTTTCGAGGGGTTAGTTCCGAGTTGACCACGCTGTAGAAGGGGGATGGGGAGGGTAGGGAACAGTGCACCATTGAAAAACCCATCCAGGCATGCATTTTGGTGGGCGCCAGTATTGACAAGGCATATTGACCAGGCAACGCCTTGAAGAAAATGCTGGGCAGACTACTGCCAGGTGCGGAATGCTGAAGGAGCACTCGTGAGGCAGTAGTCTCGACCGCGTTCATCACCTCCCTGTGCGTCGATACAATCGCATAAAATGCTTGTTTTTAGCACAACACGTACCTTCAGATCTTTGAAGGAGCGAATGCGGCTGGTATTGGCGCCTGTGAACCCACACAGCCAACTGGAGCATGCGACCCGTTCGCTGTGGATGTCAACCTTGCAAAAGTACTTTCTAGTATGCATTATGGGAATTAATTGAGCCGAAGTGACTCTGTAGTGTGTGACAGCTCCGCCTCGAACCTACCTGCGGAGCCAGCGGCGCGGCTTAGAAAACGTTGTCTTTGTCTGTACAGGCAAGGCTCTTCTGGCTTAGAGTGTCCATGAAAAATGCTCATAAGTGCTGCGCAGAAAGATTCACTCGCTGCAAGAAAAGTGCCCACACATACTAGCATCGACGCAAGTTCTGAATATTTTCTTGCAAGAGCTTGACGAAGGAGGTCGTGGGTGGCCTATTCATCTTTCCACTCATGTTTTTCCTCCTCATAAACAAAGTAAATGCAAGGGAAAATGTGGAGGTTCGGTAGCACTTTGAGTTTCGGACGTGCTTTGGTCGTACATGTTCATGATATAGGACCAGGGACTGGCAAATGTTTAGCCGGTACTACCGTTGGTGACGAAGTACGAGTCGTGAGGGAAGTATGCAGCAATTTAAGACACGCAGAAAGCATTGTGACAGAAATACGTGGGAGGCAACCCCAAGATGTGGATAGCGTCGCCGGTGTGTTCTGTTCCTGAACCAGAAGCACAATAGAGTTGTAAGACAAGCATGAATGCTTGCTGCCAAGTCATATGTGTCCTCTGTCGCTTACTTAGTTTCCCGTCGCGTGTAGTAAGAGTATGCGTTTTGCTGCCGCCATATAGAAAACAAGATGTGATTCACCGCTCGATCACAGAAGCGCAGAGACACCCAGTTCATGGGAAGTGTAAGTGGAAAAAAAAAGCCAAAAATGTCAAGTCCGCTCGCGGTAAATAACCTGGTCCCATGTTCTGTGCTAGTTCGAGAGTAAAGAGTAGACAATCTCATCCCCTGTGCTCCTACTAGATGTGAGTGTGGTACATACACTCCAGAATACGGCCAACGGGTTCAGTTTGCCTCTCTGCTGTAGGCTGGTAGGCAGATAATATGACAGAATCACTGCAGAGACGGGCACACGGATGCCGCTGTAATTCTAGTTGAGAGCAAGAGTCGTCTCCGTCAGAGGTTATTATTTCAAGGAAACCGTGGTAGTGGATAAGTGGGCCAGCAAAATGTTCGAAAGCGTCTGCTGCTGTAGCTTTTCTCCTGGTAAGGATGAAAATGCGCCATCTTTTGAGAAAATCAATGACCGCTGAGATAGAACCATGGCCAGTAGGGGTAAGAGAAAATTCCACTGTGAAGCAAGGTTTACATGCCTCCAGAGTCTTGAGGAAATAAGAAGCGGCCGACACAGGGTCGCATAATCCAGAATTAGATATCCGATATTGTACAGAGTATACAGCATGCCCCGTTGTAAAGTTACGCAATTCTCGCCAGTAGCGATGCGTGAGCAAAGCAAGGAAATTTTTGCTTTTCTCCCGGTGGCCTGCAGTCACCTAATTGTGATGGGTGTAAACTACACCATTAGTAAGGTCAGGAAACAAAAATATCTTGTAAGCCTTTTATACAAACACTAAGTAAAGGGCGTTTGAAGCGGAAGCAAAGAATAAGGGCAGTTACGAGTTGTCGCCTTTCCTCCCGGCCCTGTCGGGTCGCAGAGAACAGGAGACTTTAGATGGACTGCAGCCAAAACTTGTAGAGATGGAGGGTGTGCCTTCTTTGTGATGGGTCTTGGTGGAAAATCTCTAGCGCCTGGATGGATGGCAAAAGCCCCGAACAGGGGATAGCGTCGAATCCAGGAAGCGTCGCATGTAATGTTCCATGAAGAATGTTCTTGGCCACTCTAATATTGGACAGTTCTGGCTGTGGAGCTTGACGCAGTTGGGGCGCTGAAGTCTTCGGGTGTTGCGGTGCTGCTGACACTCTACAGCAGCCGATAATGGGGAAATTAGTAATCCGTAGATAGTGCGTGAGACACAAGGGAGAGCTCATTTCCCCGATGTGAAGGGGCGCTAACCGTGGCACACATGGCTGTTGGAGGCGATATTGGGGAGTCAGCAGGGCCTCTTCACCCATTTGCAAATCAATTAGATGTATCATGCTCGTGGAGACTGAGATGGCGGTGATCATATGATGAATAAGAGAATTGGCATGGAGACCACCAAGCAGCGGTAGACCTTGGTGATCGTCAGGGCTCTTTAGCAAGAATCCGGCTGGTGCTGCACCGGCGAAAACAGTTTGGTGTCCGCTTAATACAGTGACTGCCTCTGTAGATGTCCTACGCACTTCTGTTGTGCGCAATCATTTACCAAATAGTTTATGACGAAGCACAACGTAGTCGACGCCTTGGAGGCCCACTGAGTACCTTTGTTCTAGAGAAGCGTCGTTCTGCACCGAGAGTGCGCACAGTACAGCTCTCTGCCGCCCTTTACGGACCTGTAGAGCGCACCATGTGATCATTTCGGCACCTGTATTTTAAATTCTTCCACCTCACCAAAGAGATGCTCTGAGCTCGCGCGTGCTTGCTCTGCGAGTCCCACAACCTGTGCTAATCCCTTCGCCCTCACATGAGACTTGTATCGTTTAGAGGGTGAGCACAAGAATGTAGTTACCCACTCCAAAGGCACGTGCCGCCGTGTGCGGCACGTGCCGCGCCAGAGTCTGCTATGCACGATATAAATGTCAAAGGGCTTTTTGATCGTGCCACTTCCGGTCTGCCATCTTGTTCTGTTTAGCTAGTGCGAGCAGTTGGCTCGCACTATCTATCGTTTAAGCATCAACACAGCATAGCACCTAAAGAGAACCCGGTTACCTTCTGTCATGTGAACCGATTCATTGCCAACAACGCATCATGGATGATACTTGCCACTAACAAGTCGCCCGATAATGATTTTTTACGCACCGCATCCCGAGTCCTGTGACTAAACGATCACTACGCATTCGTTCGCCATCGGTCACTGCAGGAAGGCATTCTCTAGGGAGCCACCTAGGTCTTAGGTGCAGCTACTCTTCAGACGCCAGTTTTGAACTACGCTATACGAAGCAACAATTCCCAACAGCGTTTCAAATGCGTGGGAAGTGACTTCCGCTAGGACGACTGCAGTAAGGCCAACACTCCATAGCACACCTTGGCCTTTACTAATCTGCTGATTTGATAGTAGCGCGGCACTGCCTGCTACTGGGGTTGGGAGCCTCAGTGGGCGTCACATCTTGCTTCTGTTCGACTGTTTCGTTACTTCCTCTTGTGCTTCTTGGACTTGAGAGCATCTTTTCACACCTTCATTCACATGTAACGGGACCGCATTTGGCCCTGTTGAAGATGCACATATAGGGTCCTTTCCATGCTTTTGTTGTCTAGCAAGCTTGCCTAGCGCATCTCTTGTTTCTGTAGGTACACACTCTGTACTTTTTCTCCCCTGATTGGCTTGCCGGTCTCGCTTCTGGATTCACTATGTCGGGTGCTGATGGCAGTAACACATCACGGACCTACATGGTCTCAGTGTAGCCAGTAACCTCTTTAGCAGACGACATCAGGGTCTGTTAACCAATGTTAATGCAACTCGAACACTATATCTTATAACCCAGCAAGCCCTGGCAAGACAGCTCGATTCCATTAACGCGTAGCTACTCAAACGTACACTCCAGGCATCACTGCAGCTCTAAGGCAACAAGGACGGCTTTAAAAAATCAACAATCAAAACTTCAGGATGAGATGCTGCGGGTAAGCCGCTAGAGCTCACGACAAAACGAACAAATCGCTGACTACACGGGCTAAGAATTTCCGGTATTCTTGCCAGGAAGCACATGCTTCCATTGTAGCGACACGTCTTCGTATTCACGATGTACCTACCATCGCTTAAAGTCTAGCCGTGGCACAGCCAGGAGGGGACCGTTGCCACTGCAAGTAAAACATTTGGTCGCTTGGGCAGCTGCTGAAAATGCCTAGAACGCGGCAACACGCAAAACGCTTCGTTTCTCTTTTCCCAGCGTACTCCTTATGAAGCTCCAACCTCCTTCAGAAACTCGTCAAACGCCTGAAAAGTGCATCAGATGAATCCAGCTGAAAAAAGCCTCTCAAGGCTGCACAGCTGCTACCAGGTGAAATGGGCCTACTGCACATCACCAGAAGCAGCATCGTAACATCTTCTACCTTGGACAGCTACAGCCACTAAGGCTAACCATCCGCAGTGAGTCTCCTACCCTATCGAGATCCGCAGGTGCTGGTGCTTTGGGTGGACCCTTAAGACAGCTTCCTTCTTGCTGCACTTTGCTTTCTCCTAAGAACCTTGCCAAGCCAGACACTGGCTTGTCAGATGATGCCCCGGCGCTGCATACTTGACGCCCAAGAGCTGCAGCTCCCATGGAGTACGCAGACACTTGGGATATTGAAGGCCCCTCACGTGCTTTCGCCGTGGCCGGCAGCTTCTTGGTCCTACACGCAAAGCACCGACGCAAAAGTAATATTACGCACAACTGCTGCAGTTCGGGACAATTCTACGGCTCACACTGAGTACACTGGACATACTCAGTAAGCATTTCCTCCCTTGTTTTCTTACCTCAGATGAGTTGGAACGAAGGCCATTGCTGCCTTCAAGTCGGCTGCCTCTGCTGGCCTACTGACGGTCTGTTGCTTTTTCGGTGGGACAAGCGGCGTCCGCTGAGCAGGTGGTCTCTTATGCACGTTAGGCGGCCCTGCCGTAGCAGGGTAGTGTGGCTCGAGCGGATCCTGCTGCGGTATGCGCTGCTGCGGCTGCTGCACCTGTTGCGGCTGCTGCTGCTCGGGCTGCTGCTGCCCGGGCTGCTGCTGCATCTGCTGCATGTGGGCAAGCAGTTGCGATGGAGGAGCGGGGATGGCGACGAAAGGGGGCTGAAAAGTCGGGCATGGAAAAAAGAGAAAATCTAGCACCATTCACTCGGAAAAACTTTAGCAGCAGCATTACCCGCAGCAGCCTCAATGGTATCAGCTAAAAACAACGAAAGAAACCACTGCCGAATCAACAGAAGCCGATCGTTTTGATATTCAGTGCCATAAAGCCGTCTGAAGCTGTTGTGTGTCAGTGGGTCTGCTGACAAAAATATGTACTACTCGTGAATTCCTAGGCCGGCTCACCACAAACCCAGGCGAGAAGAACCCTGGCGGCCCCTGCGGCCCCTGCACGTCGTTAAGCAACACAAAAAAAGAAACGATGAAACAAAGACTGTCTCGAGCATCTTGTGGACAACGGGCAAACCTGCTTTCCGACAGCTCAGCTAAAATCATAAAACCCACTCCTTGTGGTGCGCCTGTAGAAGACGGCTGAGAACCTGCACCATAAGCGCCAACTGGCGGAGGCACAGGGAAAGGGAATGGCAGAAAGGGCATCGCCACTGGGGCAGAGGCCGTCTGTTGCCGTTCCGCAGTTCTATCAAAACAACACAAGCAGCAACAGATTACGCGAGGCTCGAGATTTAGAATTGTAGCAGTGGAGACACCTGAGCGAGTAAAAGGACCTCCAAAGGCAGAAACGTGAGGCACTGTATCCAGTGTATTGAACCCATAAGGATGCCAGAGGATAGCAACAGGCCGCTAAAGAAACACAACAGCAGGAACAGAAGCGACGCTCACGTTGGGGCCTGAGGTGAAATTGCAGCTGGTGGAGGCGGCTCGTCTGGAAGCGGAATAGAAGCCAGGAAATCTTCCACTGCCTCTTTAGTTGGAGCTGCTTCTGTAGCCAGTGTTCTTTTGCTGCTACAACCGCTGCTGCTAGGTGCTGCAGCACTGGTAGAGTTCTCCTCTTCACTATCCGAATCACTGCTCATGTCAGAGTTTCTCGACAGATCGCGTCTTTCCCGCATTCGTCTTTGCTGACTCTCCACGACTGAAAGCCAAGAAAATGGGGAACAGGTTGATATAACAAATCACAGAGCTTGTGGCAGTCCCATCAAATGCCTCCACCACACAAGCTGAGATGTTCCACAGAAAGTGGAAAGCAGCTAAATGCCGCATCTGTTGAATGGAATCCCAAAGATACAACTAAACCTTCTCTACACACTAGGCCTTAACCCAGCTAAGCCTTACAGCGTCTTCTCTGCTCAGACTTGTCATTTGCCACAGGAGGCGGATAAGGCCGTATGGAACCATCAGGATCTGCAAGGCGGCAACGAGACTAACGGGGAAAAAAATGTTGCAGCATGTACTAGCAGAGAGCAGTCGTGGGCAGAATCCAGGAACAAGGCGGCATGTAAGAGAACCTACGGCGGAATATGCCGGTGTTGCAGAGCTCAGGGCAGTAATAACGTCTTTCCTCCTCATCAGGAATCCGTTCCCCATGTGAAAGCCGCTGCTGTAGACATCTGGCGTTCGGGCCAGTGCTGCTGCTACTGCTCCTGGGGTCCACTGATGCAACAGAAGACACATCTGCAGTCCTCACGCGACGTTCCGCCTCCACTTGGCTCACGACTTGGGCCCACAGCTGCTGCAGCTTCTGTAAACGACGAGTGCGCCCTTCCGTCATAGGTTGGCCAGATTTGGCTGCAAAGCAAAAACAGCAGTCCCAGCCATAGCAGCGCTACACTCAAGCGCCAAAGGAGCAGAAGGGCAACGTCAATTGTAACACCACAGATTCAGCAGCAGCGCAATTCTCCTTGCCCAAAGCTTCCAGCTTATCGAGCTCCTCCTTAATAGCTACGGGGTTTTTCTTGAGCAGCGCCTGTTCCCTAGTGACCTTTCTCTCCGCTTTGTTCTGTTCACACACCAAGGCCCGATGCCAATGCCTTTTAGTCAAACTGGCCTCAGGCATTGAGAAATTCCATAATATCTAAGACAGGATGAGATGTTGGTTGTCCTTACTTTTTTCTTCTCTGCATCCCTCTCCTTCCGCCTGTGTTCTGTTGACGGGTTATACGATTTCAGGGTTTCTGCCCCTATGAATTTCTTGCTTGGGTTGACCATTTTCTTAATGTAATACAACACTACTGCTTTAGCGCCGTCTCACGCCCCTGCTGTTGCTGAAGCCGCCAGTGCGTCTTTCCGCTCTTCTCTCTTGCTGAGGCAGCTGCTGCTCCTGTCGCCTCCAGAGCCACGAATTTGCTACCTACCGTTTTGTGGCCCTACACCGTAGCCCCACGATTGCAAGCGGTTAATTAGTGCTGTTGCTGCGTGGAAAGACCCGCCGGATGGGGCTGTGGCGACGTGGAAACCCATGTGGTGCGTCGGGAGCGCTGCTACCTTCTGCAATGCTGTAGCTACGTTCGACGTTTCTGACTGCTAGTTCCAACTGCGACTGTTGCCGTTGCTCCCACGGAGAAGGCAAGCCGCTGAGCTGTGCGACAACAGGGCTTAGTGGTAGGGTGTCCTTAATGCAAACCATGTATACTGGAGAATCCCTCTTGGAACGAACTGCAATATTTCCCGACCTTCAACGTCCGAGAATTATTCAAAAATGGTGAACCTCCCTCTTATTCTGGTGCAGCCGCTGCCTTTGCTTGGGGCTGCGGCTGCCGTGTCGTAGCAGCCATGCAACATGCCCCCTACGGTTTTTGCCGACTGCGCGCGGGAAGTTCTTAATAATTCCCATACTGCATCAACGTCCGTCTGAGACGACCGTTGCAGAAGGATATCCGGTTGCAACTAACAACAGTTAGCAAGCTTTGTGATTGCTAGATTGCCTGTCGCCGCCTCTACAGTGTCCGAGTGTGTCTCGAGGACACTGGCTTTCGTTGCAGCGGGGCGTAAATGGGTTGGACAGACTTCAAAAAAAAATCACGTCAGTTTATCCAACGGTCTATAAGGGCAGGCAGGCCCTTTGTCTCTTCGTGTTGTGACCTTGCAAATCCACATCAAGACAGTAGTGCCTGCAGTGGCTGTCGGCAGCCACCTATTTCCTTGCCTTTGGAGCCACTGTAGATAAGTTGTTTCTTTCTATGCTACTTAAACCGCGCATACAACCTCTTGTTGCTTTTGTGCAGAACTACTAAAGTAACAGGACGATGTCTTTGCCTCGAGTCTTGTTGCTTGCCTCCACTGCTGCATTTGTCTCGGTGGGGCCAAAGGCGTCTGTCGAAGCCTTCCACCTGCAGCCGGCGCTCACCAAGGGTGGCATTGAAGCGTCGCGCATCAGCACCCATACGGAGCTGCTTAAGGGGCCCTCCGCAGCCCCAACCGCGCCGATGGCGGCAGCTGGGACCCCTTGGAAGCCCCCTGCATCTCAGCTCAGTCTCAGTGCAGTTTCAAATAGTCTTGAGGGAGTGGACAACTTACCTGGGACCGACAACAGTGTTTTAGCGATGGCGTCTTTCTTGCGCTGCCACAAGCCACTCCTGAATGATCGGGGCCCCGAAATACCCGACGGGAATCTCTGCATGCTACTGCGGGGTTGCGACGCGCATCAGCGGATGATATCCCCCTTGGAGCTCAAGACCAATGCGGAGGCCCTTCCGGGCGCAGCTGCTGCTGGGGTGATGGCTTCCAAGGGGACCGCAGCGGCCGAGGCTATATGCAAACAGCTGGCGGAGGACCTAAAGCTCAGCAAGACTCCACATGGGCTCTGCCCTGTCGAGCTGCTCAAGCTCGAGGTGGGGAAAGTACATCGTTTGCTGCAGTTCGCAACAGCCGCCGGCCTGAAGAAGAACTTCCTCAGCAGAGATGCTCTTCTCGTCATGCTGGAGCTCTACGAGGTACGCCCAGAAAGCATATGCGCATTTATTCTGTTGCAAGCGGGGTGCTTGATGTTCTTTTATGGCGCATTTCTATTTGTGAAGACTTGTTGCGCTGTAGGAAGTGGGAATCGATAGCAGCCACATTGTACAGGTTGTTAGGGGCCTAAAAGACTTTTATCAGGCAAGGCTACTCCTACCACAACTGCCAGCATTGTTTCTGTAACTGTGTCTTCCCATGCATCTCGTTCGGTTCTCGTGGCATTCGCTCGTTTTGCATTGTTGTTGCATCACTTGCCACTGCAATTCTGCGTACTCAGAAAGAGATGGACGAAAAGAGCTTCAAGGAGTTCTTCCTACCGGCCTACGAAGAAGTACTTGTAAATTTTGAAGAAACGAAGAAGGTAAGTGGTGGATTGGCACCATGCTGCACTGAGAGCCTACATCGAAGGAACTATGGACTACGTAAAAGCGGGGGACGCAGCAACAGCAGCAGCAACAATACTTGATTAGCAAATATCCTAGGCACCCTTCTGTGTGTGCATCGTTGGTGAAGTTTACCTGCCTCGAAAAAGAAGCCGTTGGCATTGAAAGAATCTGTCAGCGTTGCCTTCATGGTTATTTTGGGTTTGCACTGCCTTGGTTTCATCGCTGCAGCTAGTCAGGCATGCAGAGAAAGTGCCTTTCTCGTCTCTACCGTTCGAACCTACCCCAGATCCTAGGACAATGACGCCTCTTGTTGTGGACATAATGCAGTTTAAAGACAAACTACGTAGGCAGACTTTCGCAGGCGCTGTGGAAGTTGTCAGCGTCCTGGGGCTCAGCTGAATTACTTTCAAGTAACGAACTGTTTGGGTGAAAAAGACATATTGCTTCAATGCGAAGTACCACGTAAACTGTCACTGCGTGCGTCTTCACGTGAGCCTCTCCTTCCGACGTACCCACCTCTCCTTCCTACCTGCCCGTCTCTGTATCTCTGTGCTCAGCCAATCTCAGGAATTGGGAAGATAAGCAGTAGAGCAGCAGTACTGCGCGATTCAGGCTCACAGGCCATCAAGTTCCCAACTCATCTTACCAGGCAACTATCGAGGCCGTGTCCCAACAAGGATCTCACCAGCAGGCCCTGTTCATTAAGCAACGGACAGCTTGTCATGACATGCCGGGGTCGACTTCGGCCAGAAATTATTCACTGCGAGTATTCAGCGCTCACTTGGTCGCGTCTGCTACCCTACACAGTATCCATTGTTTGGGTAGGTAACCTGTAAACACTTGGAAATTCTTGGACACTAAGTCGTAGTTCGCATCGAAAGTAATTTCGCACCATTAACAATTCGTTTGTCTGGCTGGCCACTTTCGCTGTTGATGCTGTCCAGTAGAATTTGTTCAACGTAAGGTGCACTGCGGAACCAACGCATTTGTGCGGTTACGCGACCTGCCACCCAGGCCGAATTGCTTTATTTGCTAGGTTCATATAATTGGTCGCAATTGACTGTATTTGATCGTTCCAGAGAGCGGCATATTGAATTGTTGCCAATTAGGTAAAGCTGGTTTGCGGACACATGCACTTAAGTCCAGTACGCGCTTAGAGGAACTCCTTTAGACGGTGGAGCACCGAAGAGTAGCGGGAGAAAGTGTCATGGTTGTGTGTCGGTGGCTTGGGGCCACAGGGCAAGTGCGGGCAGGACACAGCCTTCAATGTTGAACGCGGACAGGAGAGTGAATAGAGCCAAGCGGGGCTGTTGAGCTGGAGGAATGCACGTGCCCTCAAGATATAGTAGTCGGTGGAGTTGGGAAATCATGTATTATCAAAATATGAAGGTTAGCAACGTATTGCAGTGGAAAAGGAGGAAACTAGTGGGGAGCCGAACAGTTTGTTGTCGGCCCACGTTTGGCAGAATGGCAAACATTTAGGGAGATTTTGACGCCGACGTGAGTCTAAAATGAAGTCATGGTCGATTGTAGCTCAAGTCTTTGTATTATCCTCACCTTCAAGCTCGTTGCGTCATACATACCACTCAAGCAAGCGCACCAGTGGTCACAGGATACAATTCCTGGCTGACATGGGGCAAGAGGAGCTACTTAGGTTCGAGTGCCAGTGATTATTTCAAAATTTATAGGCATGTGCATACATATGCAGCAGTGTGGGGACAAAGGTGAGGGGAAAACGGTAGCGCGTGGATCTTTGCCCTGGCAGCCTCTATATTGCGGCCGAAGCAGCTGCTGGCTGCTCGCCTTTTGGACTGAACCAACATCCCTCACTTTCCCAGTCTCAGGCAAGAGCCATTTTGACATTTCACTTTTGTGTTTACGAGCGGGTGTATCCAGAACCAGAAGCCTCCAGATACGGGCCAGTGTGACCGGTGGTCACTCGCAACAGTTTAATGCCTGCACGGCACGTCAGCCGTTTCGAAAACCGCGGGAGAAACTAGCACAGGCTCATTCCTCTGCTTTTTGGAGACAATATATTAATGAAGAACTAACTCTGTAGTCGAAGAGGTGCCTAGCTGGCCCCGCATTTTTCTTTGGAGCTCGCCGTACCAACTGCTCTTCCAGGAGATCGACACCTAACTTAGTTACGAATCAGGCGAAAATCAATCTCAAAAGAAAACGCGGGAGAGATTTCCAAAGTTCACTGAGTGTGAGCCTCTCAGATTTTGATGTGCTTATCTGGAGCACGACTTAAGCCGGCTGAGCGGCTATCATGCCCGAGGTCACTTGAGATGGCTTCCCTGTAACTTCAGACTTTTCTCGCGGCACACCCAGAACTTGGAGGCCTCTATCTGGTACTTTTCGAGTCACCAAGGAGGAGCTTCTGCAACGTTTATGCTCGGGTGCGCACTGCCTGGTCTTGATGAGGCAACACGTGTCAGCTAGGGAAAGGGCGGAAATTTCTGACTCTCCAGAAGAGTCAGACGTGGAGAAGCCAAACAGAAAATGCATGCATATCACCAGCACAAGCACGGATGATACTCGCACTGAAGCCTTCCACAGCAGCGAGGCTGAAAATGGCTCCAGCGAAGCTAGTCCTGCGTGCCTCCTGCAACACAGCAGACCAACTACTGGGATAACGAAGTCAGCATTTGGCTTCACTCAAAATGTAGACGATGCAATCCGGGAAAGTGTTGAACCCAGGGGCGGATCAGTAAGTACCGATGTGACTCGTTCCGGTACTTCTCCCCCTCCCAAGAGGAAGCGCCTATCACAGGTGGCCCTTTTGCACGGCTGCAGGAGTACTGCCCCCGCAACTTATGTTCAAGTTGCAGCCAGTCAAATGTACTCAGATCTAGACCTGTGTCAGCAGGCAGAGGAGAACAGTATGGTGGTGGGTTGAGTTTCCTTGAAGAGCCAGGAGCCATAGTGGTGCAGTGCAGCGCAGGATTTAAGAAGGCGGCAAATTTAGCTGTAGGCCTCTTCTTCAGCAAGAAAGATAATTGAAATCCTTTGATCGATGTCGTTCTTACTTCTGGTGCTGTGACAAACAGGTGGTGGCGGTGAATAACACGGCATCAAAGGCAAGGCAGGTAGCGGCACCTTCAGCTCTACCCTTGCCGAATACACTTCAACCAAAGTACAAGTTATTACACAACGTTGGTGAGCACAACACAGAGGTATGAAGCGTGGCTTTGGCCGCTTCATTTGTTGCTTTTGCCACGCTGGCAGATGATGATGACAAAGCACATGGAGTGAAGAAGAGAGAGCTGCCAGTTCCCCAGTCCTGCTGGCGAGAGACATGCACAGAAAGCAATTAGCTTGCAGAATGAAGGAGTGGTGTGTTTTTGCTGCAGCAATGGTGTTAACATTTGTAGCGATTGTCTCGTTGTGGGGCGTGGTGGTACGGCTCACACTATGAGAGCGCTTTACTTTTCCCTTTCAGTTTGCGTCAGCAAGAGGGTCTGCTTCTGGTTGGACACTACCCTTTGTCCTCTTCTAAATCTTTTATCGCAGTGCCTTTAGCTTGGAAATCGCCGGAATACAACAGACCTTCTTGGCTGCTTCTGAAGCAACCTGTGGCTTTTTCTGTTTCTATTTCTGATTGTTCTGAAGGATGTAGCGGTGGAGGTTGCCTCCGGAATCAGCAGTGGGCATCAATTTCAGTTGTACGCGATGCTCCTATTTGTTGGCGCGATGGCGGCTATGGCCCTCCGGAGGTTGAAGGCATTGTCTTACAGATGGACATCTTATCCCGGTAAAAAAGCACCTCTGTTTTTTCTCCAACACATTGGCTTGCCTTTTATCAGCCATTTTTCCCCATGCCAAGGGTCACTCCAAGAGCCATAATAGAGAGGACCCAGGACACATTTTCCACTGTGTCACAGAGAGGACACGGGCCACATTCACTGCATAGTGAATGCATGCATTTGTATGCCTGTCAGTCCTATACTGAAGTGCTGTTAGTGTATTCAAGCCACTGCATGGGTTCAACGGAAGTCACGACACTTCGCTGAGAAAAATCTGCTCTTGACCTCCATTATTTTGTTTCTCTTTCGTTTGCGTGTCTTGATACCACAGCGCTGTTGGCTTCGTTATTAACTGCTGCTGCCGCTTGGGGCCTCGTTGTGAGTGGACAGCAGTAGATACCCGCCGGTCTTTGAACACATACTTCCCAATATCTGCAGTGAAATTCGTGCCCACTTCTCATCCTCGTCAGCTTAGGTGGAGAGCCTTCTTCTGCTAACAAGATTGCTGTTTTCAAGTCTCAGTGCCCTGCGCTTCCACTAGCAAGTGCCTCATATTATTGATCAAATGGTATATAACCTTCAGGAAGCGCATTAAAAGAGTAAGATCTCCCTGTAATATGATCTGGGCGTGAGCAGGACGTGGCAATAGAAGCTGCTGCAGGAGGAGACCAGGCACGACGTCTACTGTATTATTTCTTTGGGTTTCTAGTGGCTGGCTTTCTGGTGGCCATGCATGTTTTCCTTGTAGACAGAGGATTCAGTAAGGTTGTTGAGAGTTTCATCTGACTGCACGGAACCGATGGGTTCTTTTCAGTTGAGGCGGGAGAGTGTACAATCATGTATTTCTCTGAGCTCTCAATACGCTTACGCTCCTGCTGCATTGTATGTAGGGCACAATCCCAGTGAGTAGGTGCTGGCGCACAGCCCGATTTGTATTCTGTCCAAAGCACACTAATACCTTGTGAAATACGTCAGCCCATTAACTTCAAGGTCTTCGGCCAATCGTCCCTTGGAGGCTATGGCTGTTCGCACAGGCAAGCCCTTTGCGAGGTGCCTTGCGTACAACACCCAAAATGCTCTCCACGAGGCGTCTTTCGCATTGGAAAAAGCAGGTGCCCTTCTAAAATAGTTAAAGGAAGACTGTAGAAGCGCGTGGCTGAGGGACCTCCCCAAGCCCGTAGATTGAAAATCGGGTCACAACATGTGGACTACAATGAACTGAAACCACTATAGAACGTAGCTCATAAAGCCAACTCCTATATATCTATGCATCTGCAGCTCGCACTGACGACATCTCCACGTGGGAAACATGGCCAATCAAGTGCTGGCCCAACGCTTACTTTCTTCCGTTGTAAGGTGATGAGGTCTCCTGGCTGTGGTTGCTAGTTAAGGAAAACGTACGGTTAAGACGCATCTAGTTATTTCAACAAATGTCAGGAAATCGTAATATGGCATCCACCAGTTAGGAGAGGCTGCTTATATGCCGAGCCTCAAGCAGCAAGATGCTCCTCTCAGCCCTTTTTCTTGAGACATTCATGGTAATTGGAGGGTCTTAGAGACTGATTCACTTGTCTTTTAGCTTACCTCTTGCCAAGCCTGCTTACCCACAGCTTTTAAACAGATGCGCGTTCAATATTGCAGGCAACACGGATTATTCGTGAGAGCAATATTACTATGGTTCTGCGCCAGCTGGGAGCTCATGTTTTAGGCTCTTCGGAGCATACACGTAGGGCTTGGACAAACGCGACACGCTCACTGCAGGCAACGTCGACAGCCGTTGTCGACCTGAGTGAAACTATGAAACTCGCATCCGGAAACTCGGATAGACGGAGTGGTAATTAACAATACCTTTTCAACTCTCAGTCCTCAACTGAACTGGCCACAATCGGCTCGGCTGCTGGAGGTTGTAAGCACGGAAAAAACAGTAATATTTAACAGTATTTTAATGTCTCTGAACTCATACGCACCTTTCCAATGCCATTCAATTGTCTCCGGCTTGCCAACTACGGGAAGTATTGCAGGGCAGCCATTCAACTAGGGAAGCTGCGTGTCCCTACATAGTCAGCAAGCAACGCATACGCATAAGAAGTATTCACGAAACATTTGTCCAGGCAACTGGCAAATGTTTACCTTGGTGGGGGGACGGTTTCATGCGGTCTCCACATTAGTCAGGATCCTGTTGTTGTGCAGTCTCACGCATTGCCGGGTCACTTGTTTCATGAGCGTGTAACCCAATACACCAAACAGTTAGTTCTGGGGTTCTTTCAGCTGCAGAGTTCAATTCACCTTATGCGCAAGTGACAACCTACAGTGCAAGTGGTGATGACTGGGTTGTACGCACTCTGGCATGGGTGAGAAATCGGATTCTGTATCCTCATGGGTGTTCCACTACTTGCTAGACACGTTGTGAAGCCTTGTAAACGCCAGGAAACATGATCAAAACATCACCTGGGAATAGCAGGTAAACTTCACGGTTCACAGTTCGTCAGGTGTGTGTCGCCGGCCGCCGGTCGCCATCAGCGGAGAGGCCTCTGGGGCTGCCAGTTGAGTAGACAGAGGCTTTTGTTAAGAGGTTTCTCGAGTTTCCCTTTTTATTGTTTGCATAACCAAGTTTATTTCAGCTCATAAGAGTGGCATTTAGGTCTCAACAACTGATGTTTCGCTGCAGTCTAAGCGCTGCGCCGATGCGCCGCTCCCGTCGGCTGTGGCTGTTCTGCGCGACGACTTCCAAAGCATTTCCTCGAGCCCCACTCCAAGACAAGTCCTTTCAAGGGCTTCTGCTGAAACCATTTGCTGCGTAGAATTGAATTCACTGAACTCTCAAGTTCCCTCCGGGTACACCGGAAGCACCGCGGGGGGCCATATTCCTGCAAACTGCAAGCCTATTCAGGGAGATAAAATAAAGCAGCAAAGGCTTCCCAGTTTCACCTTAGATCGGCACAGTGGTTCTCATCATCTTCTTGGTGCTCTGCCCGGTCAGGCGGAGCTCATGAGCGGCGAAGCCCTTCCTGGAGTATTCGATTTGCCACGCGTTTATTCCTCATCTTCCTCCTCACCACTAAACTCCCTGTTCTGCCACAGTGATATGAATGAAACAGCTGCAGAGGTGGCTATGGCGTCGGCAAATGACCGTGGTGGCTGCGCAGACACTGCAATACGATCAGAGGAGCACATATCAACCGACAGCCTAGAGAGAACGCCATTGAGAAGCGTGATATCTGGAACCCGCGACCATTCGTACAGCAGGGCAGGTTTGACGTGCGCACACAAGGGTCCAGAAGCCGTAGTAAGCCCTGGCATGCACCGTCTCGGGAAGGTACCCCGTGCCCCATGCGAGATACACCAAGAGCCTTTCCAGCAGCAGCAGCGGAAAGATAGTTGCTGCACTTTCCAGGAGTGTAATGTCTCGAACTTTCCAGCTCTTTCCTTCTCCGGCTCCCAGTTTCTGTCTCCCGGGACGATTTTGGGCTCAGCGGCCGCAAATAACGAAAGTAATAGCACGGGATGCAGAAGCAGCAGGTCGATTAATACTTTTGAATTAATCTCTACAGTCAGTCTGCGACGTTGCAGCAGCAGCGGGGCTGCTCCTGACCATGTTCCCGCCGACCGCCACAGCATCTCTGCGTGTAAGGGCAGGACCCCGCGTTTTGACGACCTGCGGTTGGGGTTCTGCTGCAGCCACTTTTCTGTTGGGTCTGGTTTGTATGCCACGCCTACCAGCAGCCGCGAGACAGGAAGCAATAGCAGCCGCGTCAGCAATAACAGCTGTAGCAATGGACGCTGTAAAAGCAGCACCAAGCACGCGCCGCCATGGCCGCCGCAGAGGAATTTCAGCTTCTCAGGTGTAACGACACGCAGCCCCTGGAATACGCGCATCTGTGCGTGCAGACCGAGCCCAGTTGTAACGGCGAACCGCAGCAGCAGCAGCAGCAGCGGCCTGCAGACGCTGAACTCTGAATTTGCGGGGCCGGCTCCCCTGACATGTCATGGGCAAGCCCTTCCCGATCACCGTAGCAGTCAATGCAGCAGCAGCAGATGCAGCAGCAGTAGCCAGGGCTGTAGCAACAGCAGCCTGTGGGAGGGGGAGCTGGGGCAAGCTGGGACAAGGTGCGATAGCGACAAGCAGGACGGTACCCGAATAGCGGAATTTGACGACCCTCTTCTCCGGCTTCAGTCCCTCAGGCTGCGGCACCAGCCACGGTCACCGTTGCTGCTGCTTCGGTGCCTCAGCTCTCAAGAAACAGACATGCTTCAGCAGAATGGGGGCGACATGTGTCCCCTGGCTGCCGACATGCCTCCACTTGCCAGTGACGCTGTCTCTGCCCCTGCCTCGGAGTCTTTGGCCTCTGCAGCTTCTCTAAAGATCCCCGCCAGCGGTCCGTCAAGCAACGAAGGGTCCACGCATCAAGCGCATACACCCTTGGGACAGCCGTATTTGTTGAATTTGGGTCTATGATGATACGGGCAATAGTGTGCACTTAATGGGGATCAGATAAAAGGAAATGTGACTGACAGATAAATCTAGACAGTAGGAAGAAGCACTGAGCAGTAGTAACAGCAGCAACAGCAGCCATAGCGAAAATCTGACAGGCCGTAGATGTGAGTGTGAACTGTGATGTACCGAATTTTCCTTCAGTCGAAAGCTACTATGGCTTTACTCTCGGGGCTGAGGTGAGGTCCCGTGTGGCAGCATATGAAGAGAAGACGGCTCTACAGAGAAAGCGCCAAGCCAAGCTGTACGTACTGCTGAGTGTCTTTACGCACAGCACGTCGATGCTCTGTCTCGACCTGCCAATGTGATTGTCAGTCCCTTTTTGTCAGTGTTGCAGCCACACTAGCGCTGCAGATTGTAAGGCTGATACTGCTATGTGGCTCAAACCAGCTGTGTCCCTCCGCTCATCCACCTGTATCCCTCCTTTCTCGTTGCCTGCAATGGTGTTGTTGCATTAGCTGGGAAGAATACTTAGCGAACAATCCGTCATTCGAGGACCGAGGGCAGTTGAAAAAGCTCGTCAGACAAGGGATACCAGACCATCTCAGGTGAGGAGACTGAGGAGAAGTTGTTAAATTTATTTTTGTGTATTTGTACAATGGTTGTGCATCAGCTTGTCTCCATATGGCTTTCCGTTTCCTTATGTTTTCCAGTTAGTCTGCGCGCCTTTGTCATTCTTGTTGCTTTGCATATGTGTTCATTTTGCTACTGAATGTGGCTGTATTCGTTCTGCCTGGTGCGGCTTGCGACTTTATTTATCTGCAGGGGGAGGGTTTGGGCGTCTTTTTTGGGGGCTGACGTATTGCTCGACTCCGACCCAGATGCTTTTGAGCGGTAGGTGCCTGATATGAAGACACACTGAGATATCGTGTGAAGGCCGAATGAGTTGCGCCAGATGATCAAAAGGCGTATTTCTGCTTGGCTGTTTTGTGTATTTTTGTCGTACCTAAGATCATTTTCACTGCGTCTCTTACGTTCTTGTTTCTTTTATCTGCTGCTTGCAGTGGTGGGTTTTTCTCTTGCTAAACTGCGATGCTCCACCGCAGGCTGCAGCTGGAAGAATTGCCTCTAGACGTCAGTGGCCAGATAGAGCTGGACCTCCCGCGGACTTTTCCAAACAACAAGAGGGTATTTAACACGAAGCATACACCTCATCACGTGCCATCTCGCTGAAATACAGTTCCCGCTCTAGTAGCGGATTTTTCCTGCAGAAGCCTTTACCATCGCTTCTATCGCTGCTGCTATTGGCGGTTTCTGCGCAGTTTCGCTCTAGTGGCGGTATATGCGCTCTACGCCGAGTGCTTCGCGGATTCGCCGCTGCTCGTCCTTCGGTGGGCTACTGCCAAGGGCTCAATTTTCTTGCTGGGACTCTGTTGCTTTTTCAGAAGCAAGAGTTGGCCCTTGCCTCGCTGCTGCAGCTGGTCGTGTCTACCGACAAGAACAAAGGTAAGCGACTAAGGGAGAGTCAAGGACCTCTCTTTCGGTTACCGGCCCCTCCAGACGACACAGGGCCCATTAGTGAGCCTCCAGACACTCTGCTGAGGTGTTTCTGTACAACTCATGCTCTCGAAATTGCACTTACTGTTGCTCCAGGCTTGCAAATCGGCCAGTATTATTCCAATGGGATGATAGACCTTCGGAGGGACCTTAAGGTCCTCGAGTTGCTCATTCGGCAAAAGTCCCCTCGTGTTTTCCAAGTCTTGAAGTCAGCATAAAATTCTCAAATCATTGTACACACAGCAGCGACTTGTTTAAGCCTGCTACTTGTGTTCAGTCTTTCTCTCGCTGTCTTAGCCGCCGCAGTATCAGCCTGCTCCCGTGTCTCCGCCACCTGTAGACAATTACAGTGAAATTATAAGGCTTAAGCTTCGCGGTTTCTGTTCTATGACTCAGGAAAACGGGGGTCGAGGTTGAGTGGTTGGCTGCTGAGTGGTTTCTGTGTCTGTTTTGCACTTCCTGTCCCGTAAGCTTTTGTACATTAGACCGCTGCGTGGCTGAGCTGTTTCGCATATGCTGCATCCAGGTTTTTGCCTTTGTCTTTTCGCTTGACCATCTCTTCAACGTGTACGTGTGTTCCATTATCCCCAGCAGCCGACTGTTCTCCGTATTTGGGACTGTCTTATGCTGGAGGGCCCGAAGATTTTGTTCCGCGTCGCACTTGGCATCATTTTTTACTTTGAGACTCAACTGGCGAAAATGCATTCTCTTGAGCAAGTCATGGGCTCCCTCAAGGCCAAGTTAGCCCTACTGGTCTGCCAGAAATCTCCCGACCCCAGAATGTAGACTCGGCACATTCAACTTCATAGGAACACCTTCAGCAGTTTTCTGAGAATGGGCATTTAAAGCAAGTGGCTTCCACTCCTTTCATCTAGCCACACCACTGATGCTGCAGTTTAGTTCCTCATCATATTTGTCCTTCCCAAAGGAATGTCCCCGTGCTAGGGTGCTACGCGTTATATGGTGATGTCTAGGATCCTCTTTGCGGTTTTTTATTGTGTTAAATGTATAGGGAAATGCTACATATTGCCTCTTTCTATACTAATGCGATTTCCTCATTTAGGTGGAGCACAACGAGCTGCTGCGTCTTTGTTTCCACAAGCTGCGAAGCTTTCCCCGACGCAGGCTGCAGAGCCTGCAAGAGACGGTCGCCGCAGGGCTGGTAGACCCTATCCAGAAAGCCCGCGAGCAACAGCAGCACCAACAGCAGAAGCAGCAACAGACAGCATCACAGGACCGCAGACGCCGCCGCTTGCTCTCGTTCAAACGGAACGGTGGCCAGCAGCCTGCATCTGAACTGGAACATCCCCAGGCCCCCTCGCCGCAGCATGTTACATGGCGTGAGAAGTTGTCAAGAGTGGGCAGAGTGGGGCTCAAAAAGAAGGAGTCTCAGCAAGCGAATGTGCAGGGGAACTCCTCCTTTGAAGGCAACAATGCTGCTCAAGATGTAAGATCGAATAGCAGCGCTCAACAGGCAATACGCAGCCAAGCTGGAATTGCAGTTCAACAGAGAGCACCAAGCAGCAGCGGTGGCAGACCAGCAGAAGCCTCGCGCCACCCTTCCAGAGGGTTGTTTGCATCTTAGTGATGAAATGAAGGCAAACAAGGGAAGGCAACCATCTTAGCAGCGCAACTGGGCAAGCTATTCAAAGCTCCCTGCACCACACCTGGCTCGCCCGGCTCGTTTTGCGAGCTGGTCGCGTTTTCCGTGAGGTAGTCGCAGACTTGATGTGGACCGTAGGTGTTCACTTGCTGGGTGGTGCCTCAACAGCTAGGCAGATGCCTCACTTAGAATTGCCGGGCAGCTGTAATGCTGCTAAAAGAATGAGTTAAGGCCGATTGTTCCTGCTGTGAACGAGGCCACAGAAACACCGTGCGGGTAGCCTGCTGTTTAGGCGTTTAAGTGTTCCTGGAACCGGGTGCGGAGGCGTGACACCCTTAGGATCATTTTTGAGCCCATGGAGGTAGATTAGCGTTGCAGCTGTTAACAGTACATTTCGCTTTTCTTGGCTCCGTTGGGCCAACGTGGCAGGCACCCTGTTATGATGCAAAAGGGGCGGCTCCTACAGTTCCGGCTCACGTCGTATGATGCTGATGAGGGGACACAGCAACAGGCACTGGGGCCAGAGAGCCACACCATTTTCCCTTAGGTTCGCTATTCAATATACCTGCGCGTTGGTTTCCTTAGTAGAGAGGCTGAGCTGACATCGCTGCAAAACTGAGCAGCGGCTCCTCGTTGTGAATCTTGACGCAATACATGGCTGCGGCTAGGAAGAATCGTACGCAGTCCTGGGTATGTATTGAAGGGAAGCGGTACAGTTTGGCATTGGCTCTGGTTGCTGGGCCACATGCAAAGGACCGTGTGCCATCTTATTCCCCCTGTCTAGTGGGCCTGGAATAGCCAACAAGGCTTCTTATTGGGACCGTGAAATGACTGAATTGGAGTACTTGCGTCAGTTTGCTGGTTGCTGTTCTATTCTTCCGTACTACGGTGTTCCAGTGGCACGTGTACCTTGCTGCGCATTTATCGGCTGCGGAAAGACTACGCTTTCGAGCGAAGGATCAAAAGAGGTAGCAGATGGACCCATGCTGTGAAGCTTTGGGAAGAAGAAAAGATGGAGGAGAGGGATGGAATCGTGATTCTCCCTCAAGTGTGTACAGGAATATGCAAGGCTTGGGATGAATTTTAGAACGTTGGGATGCTTCTATGTGTTGAAATAATCCTACAATTTCCCCCCAAAGAGTACGGACATAACGGCTATCGCTGAAGACCCCAGGCACCATGAATCTACGGTAGCCGCTCTCTCAATCGGCTGCCCCTACTTTCAGCCATTCTACTAACAGTAATGTATTTTTGCTCTCCCTGAGCTGACTAATAATTTTGGATCTTATGCTATTAAGGCTATTGCCTTTTGTTTGCAGCAAGAGAAATGTACAAAGCGCGTCCAGGCCGACCCTCACGCCACTTTATGGCAGAGCACTGGTTCGCAGAATTGCTTGTAGTTGGCATATTAGCAGAAACAGCTGTGGCGCTCTGGTCTCAATAATAAATTTTCGTGCAAACGCAGCACGTAGGAAGAGCCGGGACATGCTTTGAACGGTCCGACTACGGAAATTACTCAGGGTATCCCCGCTGGAGAAGAAAGTAGACAGAACATTGACAGCAAACAGTGAGCAGGAATGACATAGAAACTAGAGGATAGCTTGGCACTACAGAGCAATTGTAGCGTCTTGGGCATCATTTTGTGCAACTCATGAACGCCGACTGTGCTTGTGCTGCCACAAGTCGCTCTACAAATAATTGGGCACTTCTTAAGCCATATCCCTCTAGCAAAGTCATCTTGGCAACATACAGCCCAGCCCGTAAGGCCACGGGCCTTACTGTACTGCAAGTTTGGAATAAGTGTGGTTCGTGACGAGCCAAACGTTAGCAGACGTAAAATTGAGCAACTCGATGCAATCACGCCCGCTGTTGGCGTTGTTTCCATTAGCAGCCACTGTGCTGAGGCTTCGACTGCACTAGGTTCCAGCTGAGCAGGGTGCTGAAAAGCAAATGGGATTAAAAGTCATTCAATTGGAAATAAAGCGTGCACACAAACTTGACTGAAAGCACGAAGCTTTGCAGTCAAGGGGATATCTCAGAATCAGGAGCCTGAGAGGCACAATGAACCCCTCACGCCGCATCCTTCAGAGGCATTGTGCGCGTAAGTTACGTTTTCCTGCAAAGAGATCTCTCTTTCGAAAACTACCCGCCATTCGTTCCTCCGCAACTTCAGCATGGCCGCTTAAGTTGCGAAGGAACTTCCATCACACACGCAAAATCCACACATGAAGGCGTCGGTCCTTTGCACTCATGTACCAAGGAGCTGAACGAGGGCCCTCAATGCTTGCTCCGAGTGTGTCTCCATGAAATTGAACACGTTGTGTTCATCTCCGCAGAATCGACGGGCTGAAACTCCAATAGGCATGTAAGCAAGCCCACGATGCAGTTTGACAATGTGACGGGACGAACTGGAATCAGCCCACATGCGCACGGATGGCGCGTCCCTCGCTGACTCTCTAATATCCGCGCGTGGGCCTGATTCTTAACTGACTTACTAGAGACACGGGCCTGTAAACCCCATCCTCTACTCACGTTAAATGCAGGAAGCACAAGGTCAAACTACCTTTAATTCATGTGTTGCCAGAGGGTCGAACGCATCTAGTCGCATCTTGCTAATTTGGATGAGAGAGCAGGATGCCCTCGGCCTCAACTTTGTCGATGCTTTTATTACTGGGAAGAGCCCTCGGCAAAAGCTCTCGATTCACAACTCATTGGTGGAGCCACCAAAGATGGAGAACCTTTCCAGTTGCTTGTCACACCCCGCGAGCCACGCTAGATAAAGAAGCACTGCAGAAGTAATGCCGTAGGATAGGCCATCGTCGCAAGCAGTGCATCACAGCAGGCACTTCGAGGCCACTGCCCTGCTTTCGGTGTGACAACAAGCCCCACTTTCCCATATGAGCGATCGAGTTCGCGTAGGATTCCTAGTGACGAAGATGAGGGGCGTATTCCCTCATCTTCGTTGCCTAATGAACATGCCCATATCAAAGAAACGAACACTAAATCATGGAATAAAGGCTCGGAACTGTGGCGGAATCTCCTTTACGTGACTTAATACGCATAGCAGAATTAAATTTTAAGCTGCCACGGCAGCAAACAGCTCAAAGGGTGCTGTGCTGCAAATGCCTAAAACAGAGCTGCGGAGTGATGCCTGAGATCTGTGATCCAGCCGTCACAGCGGTCTTCTTTTGGACTCTGTGATGGTTTACAGTCTATAGTTAGTATTGATCAATGTGAGCATATGTGGCCAGACACGTAAGAGCGGGGCTGAGCTTAGCTCACCAACACTTCTTGCAAAATCCCACAACTGGTGCGCGCGCCAAAGGCCTGCCGGATGCAGCAAGCAGCCCTTTGGAATTAGAAGCGTAGAGATAGTAGCTTCTATTGCAGCTTGCTTCTTTTGGCTATATTCTTTTGCGCAAAAATGAGCACTAGCAGAGGTAAGCACAGCGACTTTAGGGTGTGGCACCAAGACTAGCAGCGAAGTTCCCCGAATTAGCTCTTGAAAGGCAAACGTGCCTCCGTCATCCGTAAAGTTGGCAGATAAGGGTGGTGAACTGTAAGAGCAATGGTGAGAGGCGCAGCGATGTCGTTTCCTCGTGAGGGCCTTCAAAAGCCGCTACGTGCATTTTTGCAGCTGTCTTCAAGCACTCGATTCACGTCCCGCAAAAAACAGGCTCATGGATGGGTACGACAGGGCATTGCGAGCAGGAAACTGACAGCAGTGGTGCAGTTGTGGATGGCTGAAGCAGTTTGGTAACTTGCGCACATGAAGAGTAGATGCCCTTCGCTGCCATTCGGTGGATCAGCTGCAGCGCAACAAAACCAACCAACGTCTACACAGGTCATACCAGAGAGCAGTACGTAACAGGACATTACTGTGGGACGGAGCTTTGTCGCCAGCACTGCTAAAATCAGCAGCAGAGTGCTTGGGCTGTAGCCAACTTGAGGCGTCCCTAGCAACACAAGGTATGCATGTGAGGTTGCGTGCTTATGACGACAAATTCCTGGAACAACCTGGAGTTGCTCGGCTTACACAGTGAAACCTTTGCGTTAAGTCGTTTTCTTCTCTTGCCAGGCCCCCCATGCAGCTTAGGCCGCTGGATGGTCAAGCCACCATGGTGCGGAACGCTGCACGATTCCTAATGCCGTTGGTTCTGTACTCTAACATTGTGCTCTGCACAGCAGATGAGAGCGCCTCATCATGCCCTTTCCCCACGGGAACAAACACTAGCTTTTACATGGGTGCGGTGTGCTCCATACCTTAGAAGCAAGCCTCAATCGTACTAAGCTGCCTCACATCACTTGGGTTTGTCTGAGTGACAGGTCACGTAAAGTCTGTCTGCAACATGGACCTCAGCCTAAGCAAGATGCGCGGAGTTAAAGGCTCTCCTGGAAAATTCACCCCCATAAAATCTGTTTCGCGTGATAAGTTCTCTATGCACATGTCGAACCAGCACTTCTACAACCATTTGTTCTGCATTTTTACTCGTAAATTAGGCGATACCGTGTAATGTATTAAAGTGTAGCTTCGAAAGTATACGAGATATGCATAATAGAAATCCAATGTCTTAGATAAATAAGCTCAGGTCTTTATTCCATGCCAAAAGTCTTTAACAAAGACTAACGTAAAAAGCATTAATGCACATGTGCTTGTTTGCGGGCGGCACCTAATTCACGTTCCACTGAGAGCACTGCCAAGAGCAGACTAATCTCGTAGACCGTTGCCAAAAGCAGGAGTTTAGGGACCACAACTCACAATTTACCTAAATGAGCGTCATGTTTACTGCTCAGTAGACACCAGAATGCGGAGACTACATTCTGTGCTGACTGCTGCCTGATTAACAAGCTGGTGCGTCTTCTTCGCAGGCTGTTGCATCGCATTCAAAGGGCGAGCTTAATCCCCCTTTTCAGCAAATGTTCTTTTCCCGTCTTAAGTTTCCTCGCGGCTGGGGAAAACAACGTGGGCCGCAACGATGGAA